ATACCTAAGCATTTCCCTCTCCAATTAGGCACACTAATTAACTTGTATATATTTTGGGATGGTTGTTGTTCAAGTGTTGTAGACCTAAAAGCTTCTCTAATTCAGCGTATTAAGTTACTTATATTTTGGGGTGATTGTTCTTCAACTGTAGCAGACCACTTCTTAGGGCGGTTGGGCACAAAATCGTTGTGGATGTTTATAATTATTTAAAAAAATCAAATGATGGTTTTCGAAAACCGCCTTGGAAACTGTTGTAATTTACGAGAGAGGGTGATTCTCATGGACACGTCGCATCCTATGTGTTACAAAACCTTTTTTATGCATGAATTGCAATTTATTGTATTGGTATCTTTTTTATGTTTGCTAGTTGAGTAGAATCATAAAAAGGGCAATGGAGGTAGCTGTAAAGAGAAGTTGGAGGGGATATCAAAGAGAGTCACTTGCTCAAAGAAGCACTAAAAAATGGTGAAGTATGAAGAAGTTATAAAGTTTTGAACTTAGGCTTGAAATGTTGACTTTTTGGTCAAATCTCCTTGTGCAAACTTGCAACCTTAGACTTTTTTCTTGCATTTCAAGGCACATTGAGGATCATATAAACTCAAAATGATGTACTCTTAATTTTCCTTTAATGAGGCTTGCAATGGTTTGACGAAATTTTTTGATAAAGACATGAAAATAAACACGTGAACTTTTTAGAATTCTTGAAAAACAAACCATCCAAACTTTGAGTTATCTTTGATAAAATATATTTGAATGATGCTTGAAATGATATATCTACCATATAAGAAAAATGAATGTTCTGGAAATACCTATAATGCCCTTCTGCCTTCCCCATCTGACAAGTGGCTGCCCTCACAAGCTTCCTTTCCTTCTTTTGAATTGCCACACATGCATTTCTTCTTCCAAATCTTTTAATCAGATTTTCATCTTTCCATAATCTTATCTTTATACTTTTTTCCAAATATTTTCTCTCTTGCCATAATCTTCTCCTTCTACTTTTTTTCCATCTACCTTTCATCTTTCACATCACTAATGTCTACTCACTCATAAACTCATTATTTGTTTATTCAATACTATTCTTTTCCTCTCTCTATTTTATGATTATTTTGTTCTTCCACTTCCATCTTCCTCAAGCAGATTTGATTTTAAAGTTTCCCTTTCTTTTTGGCTATAGGAAGCAGGAAAAGGTTATTAAACAACTTCAACCATATAAGTAAAAGTTTGTGATCTACATCATGTTTGTGTTCCTCTTAATGTTTTAGATGCAGATTAATGTCCATAAGGTTTAGGATTTCTTCAACGATTTATAATTTAAGTGTTCATCTTTTTCATTCAGATTTTAGCTAATTGTTGTGTGTTTTGAAAATGACATGATGCTTTGTTGTATGTTTTAGAGTTATACAACTCACATCTCTAATTTCTACTTCTTCTTTTTTTTGTTGATTTTCTATTTTACATAGATTTGGGAAATATTTTGCAGATACGGAGAAAAGTAGTTTGAAGAAAAGAGATATGGAATCATCGTTTTTATTTAATATTTAAGGTAATAAATTTCATACACCAAAACCTAAATCTAGAACATATTTCTACCATTTTTCTTTCTCTCTCTGTCTGCTCGATGCATCTCTCACATTCCTTTCTCCCTCTCATACTTCTCTCTGTTTCTTTCTTCTTCATTTTCTCTCATCTTTTTATCTTCATTAATGTTTTACACATTTGTGATTAATTTTTCTTTTTCCTTTTTGTTTTTTTTTTTTGTTTTTTTCAGGTTGTAGATTTGTACAAAGACGAAAAAATGGCTTTAAAACAATATTAAAAGTGTAAGTTTTGACATAAACATTCTCTTTTTCATATTCTTAACATCTTTCCCACATAGAACAACTTGCAACTTTCATACTCTTAACATCTTTCATACTCATCCGTCTAAGGCCAAGTGCTAATCATAAACATACACCTTATCAACTTGCAACTGGCAAGGAACCAAATATTTCTCATTTAAAAATATTTGGTTGTGCAGTATATGTCCCAATATCTTCCCCACATAGAAAAAAGATGGAACCTCAAAGGAGGTTAGGAATATACGCAGGGTATGAATCACCTTCTATTATTAGATATCTTGAACCTTTAACTGACGATGTTTTTAGGCAAGATTTGTTGACTGCCATTTTGACGAAACAAAATCTCCAACACTAGGGGGGGAGAAAATAAAAATTAAAAAATGACATAACATGGTTTATACCTCATTTATTACATTTGGGCCCATATAATAAATCATGGGAAGAAAATATAAAAAAATTGTGCACTTACAAGATTTAGCAAATCAATTGCCAGATTCTTTTACTAATTTGAAAAGAGTGACAAAGTCATACGTACCAGCTATAAATGTTCTAACTCGGATTGAGATTTCAAATCTAAATGATGTAGTAAGTACATCTAAGGCACACTTGAAGCGTGACCGACCTATGGGATCTAAAGACAAAAATTCCCGAAAAAGAAAAGGGATTGAACATGTGAATATGGTTGAAAGTGATCTTGAAAAGACACTAGATAATAATAAATCCACAATTGAAAAACGTGCTCCCGAAGAAGCACAAGATGATGATAATGAGATCATTGACAATGAAAATGAAAACAAGAATGATCTTGAAATTTCAATTAATTATGTTGATGCCGGAACTTTGTGGAACCGAAAAGATATAAATATAGATGAAATATTTTCATTCTTCATTGCATGTGAAATTATGAATGAAAATGATGATCTTGAACCAAGAACTATGAATGAATGTCAAAATAAACATGATTGGAAAAATTGGAAGGATGCAATAGATACTGAATTAAATTCTCTTAAAAATAAAAAAGTATTTGGCCTCATTATGACTATACCAAAAGATGTGAAACCGATTGGGTATAAGTGGGTCTTTGTAAGAAAACGAAATGAGATTGTCAAATACAAGGCTTGTCTTGTTGCACAAGGTTTTTACCAAAGACCAGGAATCGATTATGAGGTAACTTATTCTCATGTTATGGATGTCATTACTTTTCGTTATTTAATTGGTTTATCAGTATTTAACAATCTTAATATGTATCTTATGGATGTTGTTACTGCTTATTTGTATGGATCACTTGATACTGATATATACATGAAAATCCCAGAAGGATTTAAAATGCCCGAGACATCAAAACCTAGAGAAATGTATGCAATTAAGTTGCAAAGGTCATTGTAAGGATTAAAATAATCAGGGTGCATGTGGTATAATAGGCTAAGTGAATATTTGCTTAAAGAAGGCTATGAAAATAATCCTATTTGCCTTTGTGTTTTTATAAGAAAAAAAATATTCGGTTTTGTAATAATTGCTATCTATGTTGATGATTTAAATATCATTGGAACTAATAGAGAAATAAAGGAAGCAAAAGATTACTTAAAGAAAGAATTTGAAATGAAAGATTTAGGAAAAACAAAGTTCTGTCTTGCTTTACAAATTGAGTATACTAAAAATGGTATATTGGTACATCAATCAAATTATACATAAAGAGTATTGAAAAAGTTTAACATGGACAAAGCAAACCCTTTAAGTACTCCAATGATGGGTAGAACACTTAACATTAAAAATGATTCATTTAGACCTAAGGAAGGTAATGAAGAAAATCTTGAATATGAAGTATCATACCTCAGTGTCATTGGGGGACTCGTGTACTTTGTTAACTATATCAGACCTGATATAGCTTTTGAAGTAAATTTATTAGCAAGATTCAATTCATGTCCTACAAAAAGACATTGGAAAGGAATAAAGCATATATTTTGATATCTTCGAGGTACATCAGACCTTAGTTTATTTTATTCTAAGAATACAAAACCAGTTTTACTTGGTTATGCAGATGCAAGATATTTGTCAGATCCACATTATGCTAAATCACATACTGGATATATATTTACATATGGTAACACTGCAATATCATGAAGATCACAAAAGCAAACAATTGTAGCAACTTCTTCAAATCATGCTGAAGTAATTGTTGCTCTTCATGAAGCAAGCAAAAAATGTAGATGGTTACGATCGGTAACTAGACATGTCCAAGGAGCATCTGGTTTACCCATGGATAATAATCCAACAATTTTATATGAAGACAATGTTGCATGTGTTACGCAGATGAAAGAAGGTTACATCAAAAGTGACATAACCAAACATATCCCTCAAAAGTTCTTCTCATTCACACAAGAACATGAAAGAAAGAGGTTAATATTCAACATATTCGTTCATGTGATAATATGACAGATCTCTTCACAAAGGCACTTCCTACATCAATTTTCAAGAAGCATGTACAAAATATTAGAATGAGTCAACTTCAAGATCTTTAAAGAAGAACTATGTGTGCTCTATTGAGAGGGAACATCATGTTGTACTCTTTTTCCCTTATTAAGATTTTTATCCTAATGAATTTTTCCTAATAAGATTTTTAACGAAACAATATATGTTCCTATAAATTTCTCCTTTGATAAGACTTCGATGAAGCACCGTAATAGATATTTTAAAAGGAGAGTCTTATAATATTATTATTATTAAAATAATATTATTATTTAAAAATATCTAACTAAATAGTAATGACAAATTATTGTAGATACATATTTTGTCAAAGTTTAAATAGTAAGTTCAATTATTACATTAGTGTAATAATTATATTTTTAGTAGTATAAATACTATTTTTGACCAAATATAAAAAATACACACCAAAAATTTATTTTAATAGTATAAATAAAATATTTTCCTTTTTTTAATTTTTTATAATTTAATAGTTAAAACTAAATTATAAACTTATATTAGTTTATAAATATTAATAAATATTTAAAGTCGATTTTTGTCAGTAATATATAATTTAAAAAGTTATCGTAGATAAATTTAAAAGTAAAATAAAGTCTTTCAAAAAAAAAAAAACACTCTATTCGCAATAATCATTTTCATCTGCTTGATAGGTGGAAAAATAGATGAATAAGTTAGATTGAAATGTTATCGCTTAACAGTTCATGTGCATGTTGTGGTGTTTCCACAGCAACAAGAGCATTCCAATTTCAGTTTCGAACTTCACCTTCACTATTTTCCTTCTCTCCCACTAAGATTTTAAAACTTCGTTCTGGCATCGCGAGAGCAGTTTCTGGATTCTCCGACGAATCCAACCCTAACGGAGAACCAAAATCGAATTACTCCGGCGTGCTGTTGGAAGAGATCGTCGACGGTGGAATCAAATCTGGAAAACTGAGACTCGACAGTTGGATCTCGTCTCGCATCAATGGAATCAGTAGGGCTCGTGTTCAATCGAGTATTAAAGCGGGACTTGTTCATGTCAATGGCCGTGTTGTTGATAAGGTGATAAACTAAATGTTCATTCCAATTTCAACTGTTACAAAACTCAACTTCTTTACTGTTTTCATGTGTTATAGTACTTGTTGATGGGAGTAATTCCTTTGCAATTACATGTAGATCGCTTCGTATTTAAATTTAATAATTTTCAAATTGCATTTCAACGATATTAGGTTAACACAGAATTCCAATGTATGTAGAATTGATACTTCAGATTGAAAATGTGCTTGTTGCTTACAACAGTGGCACATACAGTTACATTCGGATATTTTTATTTTCTATAATTATTACCGATGATGTATACAAGTTAGTGTAGATATTGTATCTAGTGTTTGTGTTGGTAATAGACTCGGATCCTTGAACCAGAAAGTGAGAGCGAGGCCTTGAGCTAGGGTATAATATGCACATATTATATCCTTTCCAGTTTCTTTAACATTGATGTAATTGTGGTTACAATTCTGTACATGTTATGCTGGTCAAATTTTGCATGTAAAGTGTTTGACAAAAGTTGTTTTGAGCAATGTATATACATATACATTTGATTTGATTATGATGGTTGTGAGTTTTCTGGTTGTTTTATTTGATTTAGCATCTCCTTATAGGTGGTGTTAGTATTTTGTATTTTTATTCTGAGAATATGTTTTTAGTTCTACTATGTCATGCCTTTCATGCACACATACATACTCTTATGTGCACACACATATATGTGAGAAGTAAATCTCGACAATTATATCTAACCACATCAAAATTAAACAATTAAGTCATGTGACTTTTTAAAATGTGGACATGACAATTAAAAACTTTTAAACTTGGCATATGGTTAAGATTTACTCATCTTATTCCCACATGCAAATAACCCTCTTACTTGATGCATCTCTTATATGTGTGTGTATTTTAAATGGTAATCATGACTATTTAAAACTTTTATCTTGACGCATGGTCATGATTTACTTGTCTCACTCTCACTTTCACTCTCACATACAACTAGTCCTTTTACTTGATACATCTCTTATGCGTGTGTTTGCGTACACACACATAAATAAAGTATTCTAAAGCTATTAAAGTGGTTGTTGCCGCTTTTACAAAAATAGGAATCCCAGTTCAAATTGTCCATCATTAGATTGTTTTGAAGACTCAAATCTGTATGTTTTGTACATCATAAAAACACTACACAAGGCTGTTTTCTGTTCGGAATTTTGTGTCTGCATTGAAGTCCTAAATTTTCCACAAGGTTAATGTTTTATATGCTACTAATTACTACAAACTTTGGTGAAGTGCATTCTTAAGCCTCATAAGACTGTGATTTAAAGGATATTGTGGAAACAACTATTTTTCTTCAATTCTTGGCTTCACTTTCTCAAGGGCTAAAATACAATCCTGCTTTTAAATTGTTTGGGTTTTGATCTAAGTGGTTAAAAGTTTGAGAGCATATTTATAAATAAATTACTATATCTAAGTTTCTCATTTGACAATTCTACTGAGTCAGGAAATCTATTCATGTACATCATAAATGAAACTCTAGGATGTTAATAGATTGTAATTCATGATTGTATGTGGCACAATCCTTTATCATAAAATGGTAATCATAGTTTCTCTATAGATAGTTATGACACGTTAACCAGATTTTTCTTGAAAACCTGATATTTTCTATTATTAAAGTGGGAGTCAAGTTGCTTCCATCTATGGTAGACTGTGGACTTGATTCGTTAATCACGAATTCAGACATAAAATTTAGATAAGTGAGTCACATTTTTCCATTCTAGCCTCCCATTGAGTTGTACTTTCAAGCATGGTGATTTTTATCCAAATGTGACACATGACATTAACGTTATTTATAGAACAGTGATAGTTTGACATGGTTGAATATGTGATACTTAAATTCTTATTTTAAAAATAAAACAAAACAAAACAATGGAGGTGAACTTTCAGTTTTTTTTACACTGTTAAATACAAAAAGCAATGTTTTGCTGATGTTTTTTAGGTATATTTACTTGGAATCTGAAGTGTGTGTGTGTGCGTGCGCGCACGTGCGCGAAAAGTTATAGGAGCAGCCATGCTATTTTTTATGGTGAGCACATCTAAAATCATGAAAGCTATACCTGATTTTCTATTGAGACTATCTGAATTCATTCTAGGCAATATTACTGAAGATCCATGTAACTCTAGTGCCAAATGCTAGAGAAAGATGCTTGTAGCATTTTCGGCACAGCTGAAAGCTGTAAAATGTCAAAATACATAAGTGATGCCCTCCCCTCATTCCACTAGGCTCTCTCAATAAGTTGTTAGAAGTGAAGATGAAATAATTTTGATATATGCTCTATAAGAATGAAGATTTGCAAAGTTTTAAAAGTTGGATTTTAATCTGCAATCATGTTCATTCATTAATCATTTTGTGTTTCGTATCCATAGAGATTTATTTCCATGTCATAGGATTTTATATGAATTATGTAGATAGAATATATTGGCCACATAGTTTTTCCCTTTTAATACTAGCATTTTTATAGTTTTAGTCCTAATAATTTCCCCCGCTTCCATCCCATAAATATCTCAAATGTCTGCTTTTGGTTCTTGCCAATAATGGTCTCCTGTTAAGTTGTGAGTGGGCTAATGAAAAGCTACATAAATAGTGCCGCGTGTCAACTTATCCATGTGGCATGCTGGCCCATCGCTTCTTATCTAGGTGGGATGCCGCCTCACCAGTCACCACATCTCACATATTTCCTATTCCTTTCCCTAGCTTTGTCTTTCATTCCTTCCCTCTTATGTGTTCAAGGTTTCTTGCCACAAAGCAAGCCCAATGATCTAAAGAAGACCCCGGTGTTGCTCAATTGCAATAGAAAAAGGGGCAGTTTCCAATGGCTGCTGTCATTGAACTTTTTTCAATCAATTAATCCCTCTTCCTTGTGTTTTAGCATACCATTGCAAGTGTCCATCAATCACCTAACAGAAAGACAATTTGTGAGTGGTGCCTCCAGTAATTCTTAGCAACCCTCTTTCTCTCTCTCTCAAATGCGGGTAACTCAACCTCATAAAAGTGAGCATTTATATCATTTAACAGAGATGAATACGAAATATTTGTATGCGGGCCAAAAGTGAAAATAGCTTACATTATAGATACTAAACATATTTAACCCTAGAAAATATTGTAGAGTGTCACAATTATGTACTTGTGTATTTCGTTCCAATTAAAAAGAATGTCCAAATTCTAGATAAATTCTGTTTAACCATCAGATAATAGCTATGAATCCAAATTATTGAATCCTAGAATATATCTCTTGAAAATATATGGTCAGTTGATGAAAATGAAATGTGCTCTGTGCTAAGAATTTAGAAAATATTTTCAATATTTAGAAGAGAAAGGGAGGCCTTGTGCTATATTGCGCTCACCGTGGCCTGGGTCTAGGGCAAACCATTCTGAGGTCTATTATACAGTCTTATCTTGCATTTGCAAGAGGTTAATTTCACAACTCGAATTTATGACCTCTCAGTTACACGGTGATGATTCAATCATTGTGCCAACTGCCAAAGCTCCCATTCTCCTGCATTTATATGATGCTCACAAATTTGAAGTCTTTCCTTAAAGAAATCTTATAGTTGAGACTACATCTGTAATGATGGCCTTCTTGTTGTTTAGTGACTTTGAGAGCTACCATTACTTAGGGCATTTAAGGCATTGAAACATTGAATTATTATCAAATATTCTGAGGGTGGCTCCCAGTGTTTGCAGATCAAAGATTGTGATGAACTTGAATGATTCACATTTTCCTAATTCAACAATACTTGTTCAAAATGGAAAAAAAACAATATATCATTAAAACTTAAAAAGATGATTATGAAAATGCTCCAGACCTAAACTATATTTCTTACTTTCTAGTTTTTTGTTTGTTTATTTCAACAATTGGAGCATTAACCAGAACAGTATGATTCGCTGAACTGTGAAAGGTCTTGTTTGGAAATCACAATTTTAGGTCCTTTAAGGTGTCAATAGTTTCTTGTGTTCCTTTCTTAATTTGTACTGATACTTGAGCAGGTTTCTTTCAATGTCAGAGCTGGGGATGAGATCAAATGCACAATTGCGGAGTTGCAGCAGTTGAGAGCTGTGCCAGAAAACATACCTTTGGATATAGTTTTTGAAGATGAGCATTTGCTAGTCATAAATAAACCTGCTCACATGGTAATTCTAAACCTCTTGCTCTTTGTCAATTTAAAATCTTGCGTAATTACATAGTAGATAGTGTGACTGTGCGACTCTCTTGTTTTTTTGTTATGACTTGATTTTTCTTGACTTTCAAACTATCATAAGCTCAATACTTGATTAAATTCAGGCTGTTTAGACTAACCAACTATTTCATTCCATTCTGCTAGTGTTAGAAGCTATTTTTAAAAACTGATTTATGAGGAATGCTAGAAATACTCTTTAACACTCTCTCTAACACTCGCTCTCTTATTGGTTGAAATACATGTGAATCCCACTACTTTATGTGGGACCCATTTTCAAAATGAGGGACTCGCGTGTGTTTCAGCAAATAAGAGAGCGAGTATTAGAGAGTGTTGAAAAGTGTGTTCCTAGCACTCCTCACTGATTTATAATCATGTCAGAAATTTTCAGCAGGCAAATAGAAAAGAACTCAAAATATTGATATTGGCAAATGCCACTATTTGGTCTTTAACCTAGGTTGTGCATCCAGCACCTGGAAATACGTCTGGGACACTTGTCAATGGCATCCTTCACCATTGCAACCTGCCAAATGTTGAATACTCTAAAGAGGAAGCTCTTTCAGATACAGAAGATTTTGATGATGATCTTAATGGCTTCTCATCTAAGGCAAGTTCTTGTGAAGGGTTAGATCCTAGATTGTCTATGCCCTCAATTCGCCCAGGGATTGTACACAGATTAGACAAAGGCACGAGTGGGTTGCTAGTTGTGGCCAAGGTACTTTTTATGTTTTCTCAAACTTGTCAAAGTGCCTAACTTTAATGAAGAATGAAACTATTTTCACCCTTCAAAAGATTAGCATTCATCTTACACCCCAGTATCTGTATGCCTTGATAACAGGATGAACATTCTCATAAGAAATTGTCTGAACAATTCAAGCTACGCACTATTAAGAGGGTCTATATTAGTCTCACTGCTGGGGTACCTACTCCAGTTGCTGGGCGTGTTGAGGTTCCGGTTGGTCGGGATCCTAATAACCGGCTTCGGATGACCGCTGTTGCTGGAGCAGTTAATTCTGTGAAGGCTCGTCATGCTGCTAGTAGGTGATCTATGGTACTTTTACACTTCATTCATATTTATTTATTTACTAATACTGAATTATATTAGGTGCTTTGGTCATATTTGACTATTGCAAAATTTAGAATGTACCAATTTAAATTATCGACATAAATGTGTATTTTTCAACATTTGTGTACGTGTATTATATGAACTTTTAGCGTGTCATTATTCAATTCAGATGACACTGCCAATAAAAAAATCCAGTAGAATCAGTTTAACTTTTCTAACTAGCAATTATCATGATTCATGACAAATGGCAACAATATATTTAATCCTTCAGTTTTTTTAATCATATAACCAAATTTTTAGAAACTTAATAAAACAGTTGAAAATCTCTTCTTGTGTGATTCATTTAACTTTAACTCATAAGTCATTAGTTAAAACATGTTTATAGTTTTCACTTACTTAAAAGTGCTTTTCAGCTTGTAGATTATCATATAAAATTAAATGAGGACTTTTGTGGAATTAGAAATACAAAAACTAGTTTTAACTTAAAGGAGAAGATGTTATTTAAAAACTCATAGTTATTGCAATATAATTTGTATTACATTTTCTAAGATTTTTTTTTGTTGAGAAATGTTTTCAAATAGGTTTTATATCAACTGCTTAATAATGGACTTCTATTCATCTAAAACTTGATTACTATCTGTCAGGTACAAAGTAATTGAGATACTTGCTGGGGGTAGCTGTGCATTGGTTGAATGGAAGTTGGAAACAGGACGCACTCATCAGGTATATCTTTAGAAACTCTCAAGAAATTGTACATGGCCAAATCTTGTTGTAAGTGAGAGAGAGAGAACTGAGGGGGCTGTTTACCGTTGGAGTAAAACATGATCTAAGTTCTATATTTGAACATAGCAGAGATGGACTAACAGAGCATCTTAAGAGCCAGTATTGCGATGAACAGATAATATATAAGGTTAGAGATTTGGAGACAATTTTTATAAGACATAACTTTTGTTTGAATGGTCATGTGGAGAATTTTGCCAAAAGAAGAACCCTTAGCGTAAGGGTAAAAAAGTGGGGGACTATACCATAATTACACTGTTTAAATATCTCGAGTCAATTGTTCAAAATGATGGAGTAACATTGGGTGATGTAAACATTTGATTCAAGCGAGGTGTTCGAAATGGAGGAGGGCCTCAAGTTTTTCATGTAATAAAAAGGTAACTCTGGTAGGGAAAATTTTATCGCACAACTATACGACATTGTATGAGAAGTAGTGTTTGATGGCGCCAAGCCAACATGAGAATAAACTCATTAATATGATAGTAGAGATGAAAATGATGTGTTGAATGAGTGAAAATAGACGGGATATGATTAGGATTGTTGGTATTAAGAAAATAGTTGACATCTATTGTATAAAAATCGGTTGAATCTCGACGTAATTGGTATGTATGGAGAAGACCTAAAAATTATACAGTAAAGAAAATAGATTAGATGAATGACAACTCAATTGGTTAAGACAAAGGAAAACATAAGAAATGATAGTCGAAGACATGGTCATTATAGCAGTGCAATGATTTGGTCATAGACATGATTTTTAATAGAACATTATAGCAAATTGCATGATCATGTTGTCAATCACACCGAGCGGAGTAAGACTTGGTTGTACTTGTTTTTCAAATTTAAATACAAATATTTAGAGAGAAAACTCTAAAAATACAATTCTTCAAAGAATATTCCACTGTAATATAATATACTACACTTACAACTGCCTCCTACAAAATGCACACTTGTTTTGTAGATCCGTGCACATGCCAAGTATTTGGGTGTACCTCTGCTTGGAGATGAGGTATATGGAGGGACCAAAAGCATGGTCTTGTCACTGCTACGACCACGAACAACCCCGAGTTTGCATGGCGAAATGGTTAAAACAGTTTCTGAGCTAGACAGGCCTTGTCTTCATGCTTTGACTCTAGGGTAATATGATAAAAGCTTCTATAACTTGCTAGCTAAACTTTGGTTCCCATTTTGTTTGCATGATTCATGAAACTTGACAGCATTATTGGTTTTGATCATTGTCGTGTAGGTTTGAGCATCCTCATACAGGGGAACAAGTGCACTTTTCATGCGAACCCCCTGTAGATTTTAATGAGATTTTGAGCCAGCTTCGTAGAATTGGCAGGGATAGGATTTCTTTATCAAAGGTTAAATTTGCATAAGGGGTATTGTAAGTTTGTAAGCCGGATTGGCCTTCTTTTTATACTTATTTGCTTAAGCTTTCTTTAATTTCCATTATTGATTGATTAAAATATTATAAAAACATAAACATGATAGTGTAGACAGAATAATGGGTTATTTGTTAAAAATAACACGACCAGTAACTTTCAAAACACTATTTACACGACCAGTTTGACTTACGAGCATGCGCTAACCTTGCTACTGACACAGACTAATGTTAAAAGGTTATACGACATGAATATAATACTTTCAGCTTAAGGTCCATACTCCTATTTAGCAAAAAGGTAGAACTAAAGCAGCATATGTGCATAATAATTGGAGAAACATGTCTCGTGATTCAAGGCCATTGCAAGAGATAAATATTAATGTTTCCGTCTGATTATAATTCTCTTTGATTATGGGATGGAGGGAGTATCTTAAAAGTGTGATAGGCCCCATTAGGTTATTTGACAAAGAAAAGTGTGAAAGTTTAAAGAGAGAATATTTTTTTTAAGAGATGTTATTAATTACAATAACAATTAATTGAAAATATATAATTAATGTTTGACTTTTCTTATAAAAATAGTTCATATTTTTTCTTTTTTATACAATATTTGATACATTTTTAATATCCATCTAATGATCAGAATGATTTATAATAAAAAAAATTAGTATATTTAAATGATTAAAAAATGTGAAATAATATAAAAATTAAGTGAAATCCATTTTAATGGAAAATTTTACTCATAACCAACTTTTTTAAAATAAATAATCTAATCTACTTTTTCACCTATTTCTCAAATTAACTCATTTAAAAAAAATAATTGACAGACTATATATAAGCACATAGGAGAGAGATGTACATTGTCACCAATTGAATTGTCAACTGCTCTCATATGTTTGTACACTATCATCAATTGAATTGGCGGATTCTTCTTTGTTAAATTTTTATTTTTTTAAAAAGTGAATTAGTTTTAGAAATAGATGGAAAGGTGGATTAGTTTGAGTATTAATTTTAAAAAATTGGTTATTTGAGTAAAAATTTCACTAATGGGTATTGTAGATATTGAAAACATATTTTAGTGTTCAGTATATAGATCTAAATATAAAATTATTTTATACTAAAAGTACACAAAAACTAAATTGCCTTTTTCTTTCCAATTGCAAACTTTATTTAACTATTTTATTATTATTAGGTTAAAAGTCTATACTAGAATTGAATTGTTCAATCAATTTTCCAATCAACTTGCTTTTCATCCGCCTAAATAGATGGTTATTAAAGAAGAGTTATGATTTCAAGTTTCAACATTTATACTTCAACACATCAATACCGTATGCAATGCTTAGACTTGCATAGAAAACAAAGCATCATTATATATGAACAAGAAATTAGAAGTGTAGCCTACAAAGAATCGGTGTAGTGTTTGAATCTGTGTCCATGAATCACAACTGATTGAAGAAGCCATCTCTGTAATCCAAGGCACCACCTAACTTGTGAAAATAGTGTATGTTACAAACTATTTTCAAAAGTTATCTTTAAGAACTTGGTAACTTCGGCCCCAGTAAGTCCACTTCTTTGCAGGCTTACCTGATGCAAAGCACTTGGTGCCTGAAAAACCAACACAGATAGTCTAATTAAGCAGCACCAAAATCAATTGTGATACACAGAAAAGTGTTGAATCAAGGGGAACATTAACAATAGTAGATAGCAAGTACATTCTGCACTAAATAAATTTTAACTGACTGTTGTTTAATTTCAATAACACAAACATTTGAACACAAACATTTGAATAAGGATTATACCTTCTACGAGTTCTGGCTGATCAAAGGGACTGCATAAAACCTTTGCAGCTCCAATTTCCTTCTTTGTTAACAAAATCATACCTAAAATATCTAATAATTATACATACAACCCTAAAACATAAATTATCTAGCATATTTTTATATGGAAATAATTTTTTTATAACAACCCTAAAATATCTAATAATTATATATACAACCCTAAAATAATTTTTTTATAACAACCCTAAATCAAATCTATATTTAACAAAATCATACCTAAAATATCTAATAATTATACATACAACCCTAAAACATAAATTATCTAGCATATTTTTATATGGAAATAATATTTTTATAAATATAATTGCAAATCAAATTACATAAGTTAAATATAGAAACAAAATATTTGATATAAATATTTACAATAAATTTTACTTTTGAAAAGATTTGAATCTATCACTAGAAATCAATTAAACAATTATTTTTTGAAAATATTTTATTTATTATTAGAAATCAATTTTGTTGTATTATTATACTCACATTATTCATATATATATATATCTAATAAATTATTGGTCATTAAAAAATAAAAAATAAAAAAAACATAAAAATAAAAAATTTAATCCAATCTTTAGAAAAACAGAAAAATGTCTTAATACACTCCTCTAACTGTGAAGAGTGTAACTCATCTCTAACTGTGGAATAGGCGTAACCCATCTTTCGATAGAAAGCTTGTGTGGTGTAGGTTTTAAATATAATGTATTTTGAATATTTTAGTTTATAAAAAATTATGAGTTTTTGAATTTTTTGAAAGTTTCAAATTTTATGAATAATAAAATAATAATAAAAAATGCCACATAAAATTAAAATAAATAAAAATATATAAAAATTCAGTTGACAATACACGTAACATTAAAATAAAAAAAATTAAACAAAACAAAACAATGTCTTGTCATAGATTCCGTTGATCAAATTTACTGAGAAGTAAAATAAAAGAATTTTAAAATTACAAAGATGAAATTAATTTTTTTTTAACGGAACGTTTTTTCAAAATTAGCCCATATATCAAAGAAAAATGTCTATTAACCTTTAAATTTAAATAATTTAATAAATAATTTTAATATTATAAAATTAAATGACATTAAACTATTGGTTTATGGTATATTATCCAGTTTTTAGAGATTGGTAAAGAAGTTATCACTTAATTTTAAATAGCTTTGATTTTATTTTTTATTTTAAAAAGTAGGATTTTCTTTTAATGATATGACAAAGAATTGGTTGATGTTGTAGAATCCATGTATTAATGAATTTAAATATAATTGTAATAACAATTTAGAATTTATTTAAAATATAAAATGTTATATTAAATTAAACTATAAAACATAAAAAATAAAAAATAAAAATTAAAAGAATTTAAAAATTCTTAAATTTAACTGATCTGACCTGATCAGAAGGGGATCACGGGCTGACCACACTCTGTTGGACTGCTACCTGTTCACCGGTGATGAGGAGGAGAAGGGGGTGTACCTGCAAGACACTCTGATGCCAAAGTAAGCAGTTGGGCAGAGTGAGAGCAAAGTACAGAAATGGCAAGATGTGAATTACCTGACCCTCTTGCGGAAAAGAGTATTTATAGAGAGACCCCAGCGCTGGGCCAACGGTCACTTGCGTTGGGCTGGATTGCCAGGCCCAACCCAGGTGACTGCTAGAGCTTACGTGGCGTAGTGAAGACAGGAACGTGGTCTTTCCCCTAGTCCAACAGTCCCGTGATCTCCGGAAAGTGAGTTTGACCTGCTCTTTCGGAGGTGGGCAGTTGGTTAGTGACGTGTTCCCGTAGAGGGGAGCATGTGGAGGACGTGTCGTTCTGCCCGACACGGAGAAGGTCCTGCCCGCGTAGGGTGTCGTCCTGCCCGCAGAGGATAAGGTCCTGCCCGCGGAGGGTAAGGTCTTGAGCGGGGAGTCTCCGGCCCGTCGTAGTGGGGGTAGGCTTTCCTCGTAGGGAGGCATTTCTGGCTTGGCAGGGACCTCGACGCGGTACTCGGGCAGGATGGGCCTGGTGGAACATTATTCGGCTGGGCCCGCGTGGTCAGCCCGGGGCCCAGGCCGGAACATTAACTTTGTTCTCTCTTACTATTCTCGTCGAGTCTTTCGGCTTGTGGTGGGATTGTTAAAGACATAGATGATTCTTTTTTAAGTACTTTTACTTTTAATTTAGGTGTTGCGGACTCTTTCATTATCAAACTCTCAGGTGTTATGTTAGCAATTGAGTTCCTTCATGAGAAGAATTGACGTAATGTGTGGTTGGAATCTGTAAGTGCTCTTGATTGGCTGCATTTTGTGGCAAAACTTTATAATGTGCATGTATGTCATACTGATTGTTAGGACATACTTAATGATGTGTGTGCAGAGTAAGTTAACTACAAGTTAACTTAGTTAAGCTGAATGTCATACAGAATGTCATAACACTGTTCGTATGACATCAAGCGAGCAAGGCAGTTTTTCTAGTATTCAGAATGAGGACTCTCAGGCTAAAAATCAGGAAACCTTTTAGGAGCTCAAGCTGGGATTCAGGAAACATTTTAGAAGCCCTAAGCGAACTAAAATGTCCCTGAATGAATTGGCAAGTGGGCAGACAATTAAAGGAGAGGTTTTGTGATGAAAAACCTAGATTGTGCGCCCAGGCCCAAGGACTGATCTGCTGCTATAAATAACAGGAGAAGCAATCCTAGAAGGAAGATGTTCAAGATAGAGAAATAGAGAAATCACCATAGTGGTTTAGAAGTGAAGAGGTTATTCTTCACGATTGTGTCTTAGGAACACTTGTAATCCAAGCAACTGTTGATTGCATTGGTTAGGTAGTTTCTAGGTTGTGTGTTCCTTAATCAAAGCTTTGAAGCAAGATCAAGGTGTGTGTAGTTGAAGTGGTTCTTCATACTACTGTTGAATTTGTAAGGGTAATTGGATATCACTGAGGTGATTGTAGGGAGTGAGTGGGTATACTCAGGTCTAGAGTGTCTCTAGGTTAAATTGTCATTGGGTAGGTTTTAAGTGAGGAGTGGAAATTGGAGGTTTGACTCTGAATTAATTCTACTGATAGTAAAATTTCTCCCTGGCTTGGTAGCCCCCAGATGTAAGTGTGTTGCACTGAACTGGGTCAACAACCAACTGTGTTATTTACTACTTTATAATTACTGCATACTAGTTGGTCTGTAGTGAATGT